CGGTAGGATACACCCGAAAATGGAGACTGTCGGCGAACGTAGGAAAATGCGCAGTAGTGGTCTGTAACGAAGACAAGAAAACCCCCGTAGAATTCAAATGGAAATGGGGGGAGGAAGAACTACCGGTAGTAGACAAGTATACGTACCTGGGAGTAGAGATTTCGAAGGAGTGCTCATGGGACGCACACATAGCGAAGTTGATTGGGAAGGGTAAAGCTCAGATAGGCAAGATGGACGAGATCCTTACGGACCCACACCTAGACACTAGGATTAAGAGGTGTATTCTCTTGAATGTGATTTTACCTAAGCTAGAGTATGCAGGAGAGGTATGGGAAGGTAACGAAAAGGCCGTCAAGCAGCTGGAAACGGTGCAGATGGCAGCGGCCAAGAAAATACTAGGATGTTCAAGTACAACGAGCAACACTGTATTGAGAGCAGAATTGGGAATATACTCTCTTAAAACAAAGAGAGACATGCAGAAGTTGAATTGGCAGTACAAGGTAAGTAGAATGCCGGACGATAGACTACCAGCCATGGTTGACAAGGCAGCTTGGGGAAAGCGACTCCAGGGAAGAAGGGAATCAGATGGGACAAGGTGGTAGAGAAGGTTTGGAAGGAGATAGGAGACGAGGAGGAGACGTTGGACACGGAAGGGTTCGGGGGGTTCAAGACGAAAGCCAAGGAGGTGCTAGAAAGTAGGGAGGAGGCAACCCTTCGGAAGAAGGTACGAAGCGAAGACCACTTGGAGATATACGGGAAGTTGAAAGAAGGGATAGGGATGAAGACGTACTTGGACGGCCCCATGGACTACGCGAAAAAGCTGAAATTGCAATTTCGAGTAGGCGATCTGGACTTGCCAGAACGGAGGAAGAGGTATACCAGCCGTAGGAGAGAGGAAGAGGAGGATAGACACACATGTCCATATGGCAAATCGGAGGAGAGTAGACCCCACATAGTTGGGGAGTGTGAGTTGTACAGGAAGGAAAGAGAGGATCTCGAGGAGGAAATGAGACAGAGAGGGTGTGACATGGACAAGTTTGGAAAATTAGACAACAGCGAAAAAACGATCGCGATAATTGGGGATAGATGGTGGGCACAAGAGGCCCTAGAGGACGGGGATAAGATGTGCAAGAAATTTTTATGGAGTTTGTGGCAGAAACGTAAAGAGCTCCCAAATGTTGGTGGTGTCTCTAGTAGTAGGGGTAGGAACGGTGCTCCGTCTCGAAAGGGACGCGTGGTCAATGGTCAAATGACTAAGGCAAGCAACAAATGAGTACGCCCCCCCCCCCCCCCGGGATTTTTCCTCCGGGTTGGGTTTTTCTCCCTTGGGAGCCATGTTGTAAAACAAGCCAATCCCTTTCTGAGCTCGGCAACCAGGGTACCGCTTTTTTTTGCCTTTGATTTTGTTTTTTGCGGTAACCATGAATGGTGGTCGAGTAGATCATGTTGTGCGGGGTCGAGAACCCTCACTCCGCGCAAAGGGGATGATCGCACCACGTTGTGTTAAAATGGTCAAGCACCCTCGAGGCAGTTACCGAGGGCTTACACAACTGCCTCTGGAAGTGAAAGCACCAGAAAATAAATTAAGCCATACCCAGCTGTCATCCGTACGCAAGGAAGTAAGCTCAAGATGCCGAACACCCTTAGCAGGATGCAGCGCACCCTTCATGCGACTGGCCGAATACCTCACGGCGCTTCGCGCTTGGTGATGTGAGAGCCTGGTCCGTTGAGAACCCGGCGTGCTCCGTCCCGGCTTTGTAGGGATGCGAGGTCAATGGTCTAACGACAACGACATGCACGACTATGAGTACCCCCCCCCCCCGGTTGGCGTGGGCGACTCCCCCTTGCGGCGTTTCTCCCATCAAACGATGTCACACAAAACACCCCAACACAACCTACTTGAACCGTGCTACAAAAAAAACGATGGAAAAAAAAAAACTCGCTCCTCTCTCATTTGGGTACTGTACCTGGCTGCATATTGTCTCCAGCAGGGAGGAGGCGTCGCCTCCGCCTCCACCTCCGGCCAGCAGAGCGTAGGCCCTGGCGAACTCCATCCGCACGTGCTTGAAGCGAGACCACTTGAGGACGTGTGCGACGTCGTACCTTTTGAGAGCGGAGCATATCGGGACAGCAGATGGGGTGATGGGGCGGAGACAGCGAGGGTTACCATGGGTGAAGACAGCAGTGTGCGCAGTGGGTGTGGGAGTACGGTATGAATGCCCATAGGTGGCGCAGCCGTCCTGAGATGTTGGTGGGTGCTGACAGATGTGAAACGCACACCAGAGCGCAACTCAACACGCTGCTAGCAAAACAGAAACAATACTGCTGAGGGACGCACACACACCATCACCACCTTGGTCGGCACAAGGCCGCGGGTGAGAAAGGAGGTTTCCCCCAAGTCGAAAGAAGCGCTTCATACACCGAAGAAAGACAACCTTGCGCGCTGCAGAAATGTTCCGTAACACGACTATCACACCGCCACCCCCACGTGCCAGTAATACATTCTGTCGTTTGCCGCCGCCGCCGCGGCCGCCACCGCTGCTGCTGCTGCTGCTGCTGCTGCTGCTGCTGCTGCTGCTGCTGCTGTTGCAGGCTGTAGTTTTCAACTTTATCGCCTCAAAGCTTACTGCTCTAGCCCCATGCACTCTGTCGAGGCGCTTCAATTCGCTGAACCTCTGTGACTATAATTACAAGTGCGTCATAGACGGTTGGTTGCCACAACCAACCCTGGTTTATAGACTCACGAGGTTTCGAAAGGGTCTTCCAGGCTGAGGCGGGTGTGCATGCTCCAGCAGCAAGCTTCCGCCTTCCTCTCGCGGTCGGCCAGACCCCCGAGACGGACACTCACCTACCATGCATATGCATACATGGTACTCTTATGTTTTGTTTTGCATGCCTTAGCGGTTAGACCATTGACCACGCGTCCTCGAGAGGACGGAGCATTGTTCCCACAGGACCGATCACCGATGGCCAATCGTTCCTTCCTACTTTGCCAAAGGTGGTTCAAAAATGTCTTCCCTAGCTTATCAATCCCAACGATATCACTTCCCGCCTTTTCAACCCACTTCCTATGCCCCAGTACGGCTATCGTCTCTTCCTCGCTATATCATGAATTCGGGGGGGGGGGGGGGGGGGGGGGGGGT